ACCCATCAATGGTGTAACAACCAGATATATCTTTGCCCTTCACAGAGTCCATCAACACCGTAAACACGACTCTCCCCCATGGATAATTCTCAAACCGTTCTAGATCCATCACTAGCCTAGCCAGAGATGCCCGTGTATGGGTTGAAAACTTCCTCCCTTCAATGTATCCAGCCAAGATGGCAAGGTACCCGAGCCGCTTGCGATCATCCGGAGACCACTTTTCGCATCTCCCAAATGCATCTATTATCTGATCAGTAGTTGGCCCAGCTTCGACATTAACTCCCAACAACTCCTAGAAAGCAACCAACTCCTTTGTAACAGGACAGTTTGGTCTCTCAAGGTCCTGAATGTACTCGCAGTTTAGACCAGTGAGGTATTCAAACTCGAGCAGTGAAAACCTCAAAGGTTGTGGACCAGCAAGACTCCACAGCTCATACTTCTTCTTTTATGTCGAGCTGGAAACAAAGTATGTAGTGAACCAGCCTTGAAGCCCATTCAAAATCCAGCTCTTGGAACTTGATGAAAATTCCTAACTTAGACTCCTTCAACTCTTCATATTCTTCATCCTTAAGAGCATTCCTTAGAGCAGTATACAACTTCGTCTGAGGATGATACGTAATGCTATGCTGAGCGCTAGGCTCTTGCCCTAGTGTATGTATCCTACGGGGGAGTTCGGGAATATTCTGCAAAAAAATCAAAGAAAACCATCTCAAACACACAACCATCCAGTATAACATTTTAATTATAAGCCTGGAAGACTTATATTAAGTCGTTTGGAAAGTCTTCCACCTGGAAAAATTCCAGACGACTTAATTATAAGTCGACCAAGACTTCCAGTAGAACATTTGAAAGCTGACCTGAAAATTCGGAGAAGATGTACTCGCCTTCGACATAGCGGTTATAGAACTGCAAAAATAGACGTGAAAAAGAAGCGCGATGAGAACGACGGTAACTGTAAAATATCCCCAATCTTTGAAACCCTAATTTGAAAATATCCACAACATCCAACCTAAATAAACAACAATTCGATTTAAATCCCCAATTTTTGAAACCCTAATTTGAAACCAAAATTTCCCGAAATCATTGAAAACGCAAAACCAAACGGTAAAAGTAAAGGAAAACAACATCCATCCTAATAAAAAACCATTAAATCGGCAAGAGAGCCTTCGATTTACCTTGGTCTTGTATCGCCTCGAAATCGCCTCGAAATCACCTTTGAGAGAAACGGCGTTAGGGTTTTTTGAATTTCGCGAAAAGTGCGTAAAAAAAAAATCTTCTTATATATGTCCGGTAAAAAATCCGGTTAGGTTTAAAAGTAATTCGGAAATATCCGGTTTGGACGACTTATAATTAAGTCGTCTATTGATACTATACATCCGACTAAGTCGTCTGCCTTATTAAATATATTTACCAGACGACTTAGATATAAGTCGTCCAGATCCTAAACCCTAAAACCTAAACTAAATTGACTAAATTAACTAACTAACCACGTTATAAAATCAAATTATACTTAAATAGAGTCTACTATATATAGAAATAAACACACTTAGGTAAATTTTTAATTTTTCAAAAAAACATTTATGCTTTCGAAAATCTGACCCTAAGAAACACATACAATACTACAACATATGTTGGCAAA